TGGAGCGTAGAGACAGTGAATAGCAGTATAAATAGTAAATAGCAAAAAGAATGATAAAATATCGTAGATTTGCATGACAATGACTGGCTGCGTTTTTAGAGCCTCTATTGTATAAAAAGGGGATGTAGCTCAAATGGTAGAGCGCGCGCTTAGCATGCGCGAGGTACAGGGATCGATACCCTGCTTCTCCATTTTTGCACCTGTCCAAGCCCAACCACTGCTATAAAATACGTCCTCTCAGTGCCTTTTTCGGACTCCTATATCATGAGCAATCGAGACCAATTCCTACCTTTTCATATCCCAAACGAAATACACCTTCCATACGTTTGTTACGTGTGCTCATTTCGAGGAGACCATGCTGCAGCATATAAAAACACACCACGAAATTTCAAGATGAGCAGTGGTTGAAAAATATATGCATGTGACCTTTTATGGCCATTTCGAATTTGTAGCCCGTGTAAATGGGTTGAAAAATACAACGCCTTGTGGAAGCAGAGATCGCCTTGAACGCATTCAAAAAATTAGTACGGGGAGTCAAGCCACCGCGATATTTTTTATTTAGCTCCTTCCAACCCAAATTGACCCTCCGATTCGACGCATCAAGCTCTCTCGAGAGACGACAAAAAGCGTATCGTATTATTTAAATAGCAACGTTTAAAATATTTCCACCCAAAAGACCATTTTATTGCCGAGAATAGTCTTTCAATAAATATTGCGTCGAATTGAGTGCATGTATAGTAAAAAGGAGTGAATTGCATGTATTGTAAAAGGAGTGGATTGCATGTATTGTAAAAGGAGTGAATTCACGGGAGTTGGTATTCAGCGAGCTATTTTACGGTGCTTTGAAAGGCGGCGAATTTTTTGTTTGTTGATTGAGGTAGCAATAATTTGGAGCGTAGAGACAGTGAATAGCAGTATAAATAGTAAATAGCAAAAAAGAATGATAAAATATCGTAGATTTGCATGACAATGACTGGCTGCGTTTTTAGAGCCTCTATTGTATAAAAAAGGGGATGTAGCTCAAATGGTAGAGCGCGCGCTTAGCATGCGCGAGGTACAGGGATCGATACCCTGCTTCTCCATTTTTGCACCTGTCCAAGCCCAACCACTGCTATAAAATACGTCCTCTCAGTGCCTTTTTCGGACTCCTATATCATGAGCAATCGAGACCAATTCCTACCTTTTCATATCCCAAACGAAATACACCTTCCATACGTTTGTTACGTGTGCTCATTTCGAGGAGACCATGCTGCAGCATATAAAAACACACCACGAAATTTCAAGATGAGCAGTGGTTGAAAAAAATATATGCATGTGACCTTTTATGGCCATTTCGAATTTGTAGCCCGTGTAAATGGGTTGAAAAATACAACGCCTTGTGGAAGCAGAGATCGCCTTGAACGCATTCAAAAAATTAGTACGGGGAGTCAAGCCACCGCGATATTTTTATTTAGCTCCTTCCAACCCAAATTGACCCTCCGATTCGACGCATCAAGCTCTCTCGAGAGACGACAAAAGCGTATCGTATTATTTAAATAGCAACGTTTAAAATATTTCCACCCAAAAGACCATTTTATTGCCGAGAATAGTCTTTCAATAAATATTGCGTCGAATTGAGTGCATGTATAGTAAAAAGGAGTGAATTGCATGTATTGTAAAAGGAGTGGATTGCATGTATTGTAAAAGGAGTGAATTCACGGGAGTTGGTATTCAGCGAGCTATTTTACGGTGCTTTGAAAGGCGGCGAATTTTTGTTTGTTGATTGAGGTAGCAATAATTTGGAGCGTAGAGACAGTGAATAGCAGTATAAATAGTAAATAGCAAAAAGAATGATAAAATATCGTAGATTTGCATGACAATGACTGGCTGCGTTTTTAGAGCCTCTATTGTATAAAAAAGGGGATGTAGCTCAAATGGTAGAGCGCGCGCTTA